GAGAGTTCAGTCTATGGTGGGTAGGGCCATCCCTGGACTGGTTGTCCTGGATTAAAGCAGGTTAAGAAAGCCATGAGGGGCAAGACAGTAAGGCACACCCCTTCCGGACCTCTGAATAAGCTCCTGTCTCCAGATTCCTGCCAGGTTTGAGTTCTTGTCCTGACTTCCTTCAAAGATGGACTATGATACGGAAGTGTAAGGCAAATAACCTCTTCCCCATCTTGCTTTTGGTCATAGTGTGTAGAGTGAAGTCTTCCTGACAGCCTGGTTCCAGAGCCGCATCAATCCCAAAAGAACACACAGGAGGCTATATTAATTATAAGCTGTTGGCCGTTTGCTTGGTTTCTTATTGGCTATCTCTAACTTAAGTATTTACCCCATAATTGTTACTCTAAGTATTTCTCTTACCAGAGAAAGGGGTCTGGACCTCTTATTCCTATGGCGGCTACATCATCACTGCCTGTGTCTCTCTTTCCCAGAATCCTCCTCAACTCTAGTCCCACCTATCTTGCTTCCTTATTGGCTAACTTTGCTTTATTGACATAAACACAAGACTTCCCCATCAATAGTGTTTCATCACAGCAATAGTAATGCTATTTAACACACTTGTTAGGAAGGCAGGTCCACAAGGTATCACACTTTCTCTCATTTGAGAAATGTAAGGGAGAAAAAAAGGACATGGATATAAAGTGAAATTGGTAGGCTTATGAAAGGGAAGAGAAAGAAGAGATGACAATAACAAAATTCTGATGCTATCTGGATATGTCACACTGGTGAATATCTTTTATCTTTTCTGTCTTTCTTAGAAACGGGAAATGATCCTTTTCCTGTAAGTTTCATCTGGCGGCTTCAAAAACAGTACTACCTTCTTGTGGTTTCAACACACTCTTTTGTTACAAAAGAAAACCTACAGTTCTTTCAAGTTCGTGAATTGTCTGAAAGTTCTCCATGTCCTCCTATAGATTGCAATTGCAGGGGGCAGATTTCCATGAAACCACAGATTAGGTATTCTAACTCAACGTATTTTACAAAGAATCATGCAATACAATTATAGGTATCCCCATCCCATGACAAACATTTGCAGTTTGATTGCCATTTCAGAATTAATAATAGAGTGGGCCTTTGGTTGTATATCTTATCAAATGCAAAAACAAGGATTTTAATTTTGTACTAAAGACAATTACTATTGTTTCTTTCTTTTTTCTTTTCACTCAAGTTCCAAGAAGAGTAAACTCCATTATTATTAAATACTGGAAATGGGTTTTCTCCCTTCTGTATTCTTCTCTGCTTTGTATTATCATTACTCCAAGGACGTTCAGATCCCAGGCTTTCTAACCAGTTCCCAGATGAGTCTTCAGTACAACCTTAATTTAAAAACTGAGAGGTCTGAAATTTGTCTGGTAAACGGATGCACTTTACACTCTGGCACTGTGGGGATCAGCTAATTCTTTTGTTTGTTTTTGGCAGTATGGCAAATCTCTTTTAGGAACTTTTGGGTATTTAAAATTATTATATTTTTGTTTGCAGCAGCAAAATAATGTGCTGGTTTGTCTTCTTCTTTGTGATGGAAACATCTTATTGGACTAATTTGCTTTCCACATTGGAAAGCAGACTCTAACAGCTCAGAGGAACTCCATACTATAGTAAAACCCAACAACTTCAAGAATGATTCAAGAAATACTTTCAAATTATATAAAATGAAAGTGTTTATAATGCTTTCTGTCACAATCTTATTCTTGCAGTTACAATGGTAGAAGAGAAGATTTTTTCATTCATTTAATGTACTTTAATTTATGTGCATGAGCCAAAAATACAGTCACATATTATTTCAATGTCTGACTTTCTATTGTTTTCAAGCACATAATAAAAAACGCATTTTATGATTTACTTTAAAAGTATTTTAAATTATTTATTATTTTTGAGTATTTCATACACAAATATAATGTATTCTCATCACATCCACACTTTTTATTCCAAATCCTCCTGCAGCTTCCCCTTCACCCTCCCTAATTTTTGTTCTATGACTATTATTTTTATACATACACATGCATGCATACACTGAGAGACAGAGAGAGAGACTGTGATAAAATAGACAATGGAAGAGGGAGAGACAAAGAATTCCTTTTGAATCTAGGCAGTGTTGCCCACATGTAATACAGGACTGACTGCTTGGGTGTGATTGTCCTATAAGAGGTCTCACTCCTGAAGAGAATTCCTTCTCCCTTTCCCAAAAGTTATTGACAGCCTCTGGCTCTTCAACTAGGGGTGGAGCCTTTTGAGCCTTTCCTTAGCCATGCTAAACATTGACTGGTATGGTCTTCTGCAAGCAGTCACACTGCTCAAAAGTCATGGGCACAACCTCCCCATCAAGCCCAGAAGACACTATTTTACAGTGGTCCTCCCAGGCTCTGGCTCTTACAATCTTCTGTTCTCTCTTCTATGATCTTCCCTGGGGAGTAGGAGTGGTGTTGTAGATGTTCCATTTAGGGAGGGGCACTCCATGGGAACTTAGGGTTGGCACTTTGACCATCTCTCTGTAATGGTCTCTGTCTGCTGAAAAACAGAAATTCTTTGATGAGCAGTGATTGCTGCACTTACCTCCGGGTATGAGGATAACTACTTAGAAGGCAGTTGGATACTAAACCACTTTGGAAGAATGGTAGTAGTCAGTTCTCTTCTAAGGTCCATGACCTCTCCAGCAACAAGGTCCTTGGCTAGTTGGACATAACAGGCATGTATTCCCCTGTGTTGTGCATGCCTTAGGTCCAATCAAACACCTGTTTATTTTGTTTTGTTTTGTTTTTTTGTTTTTCGAGACAGAGTTTCTCTGTATAGCTTTGGAGCCTGTCCTGGAATTTGCTTTGTTGACAAGACTGGCCTGGAACTACAGAGATCCACCTGCCTCTGCCTCCCGAATACTAGGATTTAAAGTGTGTAAGCCGCCGGGCGTTGGTGGCGCACGCCTTTAATCCCAGCACTCGGGAGGCAGAGGCAGGCGGATCTCTGTGAGTTCGAGGCCAGCCTGGTCTACAGAGCGAGTTCCAGGACAGCCTCCAAAGCCACAGAGAAACCCTGTCTCGAAAAACCAAAAAAAAAAAAAAAAGTGTGTAAGCCACCACCGCCCGACCAGACACCTGTTTGTTACTGACCCTCTTCTCTTAAAAAATACTACTGTTTCCATTGGACCATTGGGCCAATAGTGACCTTCCCAGGTCAGTCATTAATACAATCTGTAAGGTTTACTGCTGGGAAGAACTGTTAATAACTTGTTCCTCCAGCGTCTTACATGGCATCTTCTGACACTGAAGGGAGTAGTGTCTTCAGCAATGAGGTTTTACCTTCAAGTTTTGAAAAACAATTGAGAGACATGACAGTAGCCCGTATCATTTGTGAGGGGATGTTTCGAATTTCCCCAACCAACAAGTTGAAGAGAATACCCATCACCTAGTACTAGCACTTTGTTTGCTAGTTCATGGCTTCTGGGGAGAGAATTATCCTTTTGGTGGGTTGGCTTTAATTAAAGAAAGCTTATAAGATAGTATGTTTCACTATGATGTCTTCAAACATCCAAGTGCCATTTATCTCTCCCCCACCATGACACACACACACCCCCACATTACCCTCCCAGCCTTCCCCTAATCCACCTTCCCTTAACACGTGAAATAGTGATGGTAAACAAGAAATGCAAGCAGACAGAAATCCAACTTGTTTATTTTAGCTCTCTTAAATGTCACAATATTTAAATTAGCCACAAGAGTTTAGTCTTTTACATATAGGGAGGATGTAAAATCAAAATTATTAAAGAGAAGAAAGAAGAATATTTGTGGAATAGTAATTTTCAAAGAAGAGACATATTTGCCAAGAGACGTAAGAGTTACTCCTAAATTTGTTTTTCAGTATTTTAAAACACGGTGACTATATAGTGACTCTTAGATGGAAGTGTTGTCTAATGTCCCTCTCATGTCCTACTACATTGTTTAAACTTCCTTAGTCCATATTGCATTTCATAAGAAAGGAATGCATTTGTTTTAAAATTAGATTGTATGTTGCATATAAAACTCTGTATGAGATGATGTGAATTTGTACATGTATAGGTACTAGATTTCACTGATTTTGTAAGCAAACTTCAACCTACTTATCTTGCAGTATTTGTCTGACAAATGATGGAATGGAGTTAATTATGTGGAGCAGGCATCGACATAGGGAAAGAACAAAACTAACTGTTCTACAAACCCCATCTCCCTGACCTCATTACGTTGTACTAAACCTCCAAGCATACTTAGTTGTGACATTCAAGCATGCTTCCTGTAGATGTACTTGTAGACTAAGGAACTTTATGTGAATTGGATCATTCTTAGCCACCTTGAGGAGCAAGAAAGCTAAAAATTGCAGTTATTCTCCACAAATAACTCTTCCTATTAATAAGACATGTGGACAACCACAGGTCATATATCTGCATAGTCAGTTGACCTTCAGATGCCAAGGTACTGCTGTAGTTAATTTGGACTGCTTTATCATGACCCCATACATACTGCCATACAAGTTCTTTCGTGATGTGTTTTAAAGATAATATTTCCAAAACATTGACTACATATTATTTGTAAGAAAATTAATGATTTTATTTATAGAAATGCATCATTGCTATCAAACACTGGTAATGAAAATTGCAAAATGCAACACATTCTACATATGCTATTATTTTCATATGTCCTTGGAAATTCAATAAGCAATAGGTTTACTCCTCCCACGTAGAGAGAGTAATTTAAATTCATGAGGTAAGCAGAGACTTGAACCATCCAAAGTGTTCAATGACTTCAATCCTGCTGATGATTATTCTTATCCATTAATTCTCAGATGTTTTTACAGCATAATTCACATACCTTAAATCAGCCTGAATAAAATAAATCAGCAAAACAATTGAGGAAAGTAAAGGAAACAGAATTATACAAGGTCTCTGTTAACACATAAGCACAAAAATCACTCTACTCTCCTCCACACAGAAGTGATTCTCATGGGAAACCTTGGATAATGATGATAGAGAAGGAGAACACCATTAAAATGGGAAAACTGTGGGACAATTCCTGGAAGGTAATTGACGCTACTAAGAACTAGAGAGTGGCACTCTCCTTTACAAAGTCTGCAAAATGAAGACTAAATTTCAAAAGGTTTGAATATAGTATTACTATACATTTTTCTAAATACATATATATATTATACACACACATATCTACATGTGTACATATATAATATTTGGTATATTACAAAAATATCATTGCCAAGCATGGTGACACAAGCCTGTGATATTAGAATATGGAATACTGAAGCAGAAAGATGCTGAGTTCAAGGACAGCCTGGGCTATATAGTGAGATGCTGTCACAAAACAACAGACAGAAAGTGAGGTGGGGGGGCAGAGGAAAGGCTGTAGTTACTTAGCTCTTAGTTAAAGGTGTTAGTAACTCAGCAGTTTAAGTTAAAGGGAAAAACAACTGCCAACCTTCCTTGCTGTTTCTTTACAGTGCACTACTGTTCTTGTAATTATACAAGTGTGCTTTTGCAATCCTTTCAGTGCTTAGGGCTTCTAAATAAAGATCCTGATCTACCTTCTGTTCTAAAAGTTGATATGAGATAAACAAAGACATTAGATATTAACAAATAATTTGGATGCAGCATTTAAAAGAAACATTTTTCAATATAAATGACTTAAGAGGGATAAGGATTCTTCATAAAAGATAGAACAAACAGCTGAAAAATCAAAGGGATCTCAGAAGTGAAACAGGGTCAAGTTGGAAAGCCATCTTCGCTGTGTCACAGAGACACCTGCTGGTCACCAAACTGTTCAAGGCTCAAAACCCCAAATACATTTGATCCTTTGCACTCATTACCACACTCCCCAGTCTTTAATCTCCTGGAAAGTCAAAGCATAAGCATGAGGAGCAAGCCTCCTAAAAAAGATAAAAATTAAATGAATCTCGTGGATTTTTATATTACATCTTGAACAAGATGTGAACTTTTCCAGGTAAATAACTGTTTTACTCCATTTTACTGAAGCTGGTTTTTTTTTTTTTTTGTATAATACAACTCTAGAAGACACATGAAAGTGTAGCATACTTCAGTCTGTCACAGAGGTTCAGAGTTACACTAAGGTCGACAAAAAATGCAAAATTATACATCAAATATTTCTAAGTCACTTGTTTAGGGTATTTTATGTTTGAAAGCAATGCAAACTATGACTATACGGAAGTACTGAAAGTTTATCTTAAACTATTTTAAGGGGATTAAACAAACTAACTTGCTCAGGGATCATGCTAATCTTCTCTGTATCATTCCAATTTTAGTATATGTGCTGCCGAAGCAAGAACGAATGAACTTTGGGAGCCCACTCCACATGGAGGGATGCTCTCTCAGCCTGGACACATGGGGAAGGGCCTAGGTCCTGCCCTGGATGAAATGACAGACTCTGGAGATCCCCCAAAGGAGGGCCTCACCCTCCCTGGGGAATGATGTGGGGATTGGGTGGGGTGCTGGTGTAACTGGTGGAGGGACAAGGGAGGAGGGGTGGGAGAGGGAGCTGGGATTCACATGTGAAGCATTCATGTCTCTAATTTAAATAAAAACATATACTGAGGAAAAAAACTAACTTGCTTTTCCCAATCTAAAACAACACATAGAACTAGTAAGTTAGAAAATATGTCAGAGTAGATTCATAGTCTGGACATATTTTAATCAACTAGCTCATCTATTAAAAAGTATTTATTCACACTGTGTTCAGTACTGCACTTATATACAGACACAGAACTGTAAGAAAATCTCTTTGCAAAGACCCAGGTTTTAATTGGATATGTCACTTATTTCACATTAATCTTAGTGTGTAATAAAAGTCAGTATCTAATTGTGAACTAAATTAAGTGATTGTTAACCAAAGCCATGTAGGGGCTCCTACATGAGAGCTGTGCTACTCGGGGCAATAGTCCCAGTGGAAATGAGCTCTGAAGGGGCATGCGCATCCCAAGTTAGATGTGTGTAGAAGAGCATCTAGGGAACTTTATTGCATGTGGTTTTTAGAATCTCATCTTCACTGTGGGACGGAAAGGGAGTTATGGGAAAACTCCAGGAGTTACAAAAAAGGGGCAGCTGATAAAACTAAAATTGTGGACAAGAAGTACAAACCTTTAAGAAGAGAGTGGTATAAGGGTCAAGCAAGAAATGTTTGGCTTGAAAGAATGGGCCAATGGGAAGAATTCTTGAAAGCCTGACAGGAAAATTTAGATTTGATGCCTTAAATTATAAGATGAGTTTTGATAAATTCAATGAGAGAAATTTAATAAATTCAGTCTTTAAGGAAGATTAGTTTGGCAGCCACATTCACCATAAGTGATCTAATATGGATTGGTTCCACTTGAGTTACTTTGCAATAATATTTGGATTCAAAATTCATCTACAGAGAAAGCATTTCATATATCATTATATATTTTACAGGATGGTTAAATTATTTATTCGGTGTTTCTACTAATAATAAATGAGAAAGACAACTAAACCAGAAGTTTAACCAAAGTATAAAAACAAAAAACAAGCAAACAAACAAGAAAACCCTTCTGGCCCACTTTTTTCACCCTATGATAAAAGAAAACAGAAGATTAATTACAATTCTGCTTTTATTCATATATCTACTTAGGAAATGTTGGGATAGTGTTATTAACTATATGTTACTGCTGTATTTCTTCATTCTTACAATACTGTTGGCAGTTAGACATTATGGTCTTCAGTTCAGAAGATAAGTTATCTGAGGCTCACAAAAAGTGAAACATCCCTCATATTATATACTGGAATGTGAAGCCAGGTCTTTCTGATCTCAAAGGTTATGGTCTTCTGCATGATCCTACGCAGACAATGATTCTTGTCCCTGCTATGTTATCATAATGTCACACATCAAACTCAAAAGTTACTTTGAGCTACATTGATATGATGCCAACCTGCGGGTGGATTTCTCCAGCACTGATCATGGAAAGCATGAGTACTGATAGCCAAGTCTGGCTAAGGAGTCCAATGGCATAGTTCCAATTCACAATTCCAAAATTCATTCTATGCATTCTAGAGACACAATGAAGCCTGGCATAGAATATACATAAGAGCATCAGCACCATCTGATACATTTCTAGGCTTACTTCAGTTACTTCCCTATTGTAATAGAGGCATCACTAGCATAACTCTACGTTCTGCTTAATTTTATAGTTCTTCATATAAACCACTAACTGATTTTTCAAGACTGCTTTCATTTTGCATGATTTTCACTATTACTGATGAGGATACTCCTACTTGGATATCAAATAATCTCTGATGCATAGCTTCTACACAAGTAAGAAAAAGTATTAGCTTCTCGCTATACAGGTGCACAACTCTCTATGATGTCTACAATAATAAGCAATACAGACAAGACAGCCATCTGACTCTAATGGCAGAACATGAAACCTCTCACCCTCTTACAGACCCTAGCCCATAAATAAGAACTGGCATTTCACACATCATCAATTAGTCTAAATTAGAGCACATCTGACTGAGTTTTAAAGTTGTGACATAGGACATCTGGGGAACTTATACTTAGATAAAATAAAAAGGTTCTTATTAAGAAAATAATCCCAGGTGGGGCGTTAGTGGCACACGCCTTTAATCCCAGCACTCGGGAGGCAGAGGCAGGCGGATCTCTGTGAGTTCGAGACCAGCCTGGACTACCAAGCGAGTTCCAGGACAGCCTCCAAAGCCACAGAGAAACCCTGTCTCGAAAAACCAATAATAATAATAATAATAATAATCCCAGGCATTGAATTCTGTATTGAATTCTAAGTTCCTCAAAAGTTGAAGAAAATCTTTAAAGAAATGGATACTCTGAAACTCAAGAGGAAAGCCAAAAGGAAGCCACAAAAGCAGAGATGCCCTGCAGGCCAGTGTCAAGTTCAACACATCAGATTATGGATCATAGGCAAGGAAGATGACAGTGAGACTCACAGATCAGATGGAAACCACAGGACCTTGGGAAGAACCGTGCGACCCCAAGTTTGTTGCCCTGATCAAGTTGGATCATCTCACAACACTTTTTGGATTAAAACAAAGAAAAATAAATCCAGACAACACACTTCTTAGGAAGAATAAAGTAAATATGTATGCCCAGAGAAACAGAACATTTTGGTACAAAGCTGAAATACAAATACTAGATCAGTTGAGTAGTAAAAGAGACTAGAACCAGAAACAGGTCTATGATAATAAAAACCATTTAAAACACTATAGAAATTATGTTCAGTAAACAGTCATAGACTAATATCTGTACAGAAAAAAAGGAGTAGTGTCCTAACACACTACCTGTCCAAGGATGATTAAAGACCTAATATGAAAGTTGAAAAAAGATAACATGCAAAAATATCCTAATGACTTTTCATATAGGTTAACAGTTAATGACATACAAAAGGCAAAAATTACAAAATCAACTACATTGCTTAATTAATAATTTAGATAATCTTACAAGACATGAAAATATTTGAGATATAACACATATGGTCTGTTAAATCCTGATACAAAGAACCACCACAAATTGGAAAGAAAAATGATTTGAAAAACGTGCAAATGCATATGAGCAGACAAGAGAAGAGAAAAATAAACACAAAAATACTCATTTTCCATGAAAGTCAGGAAAATGCAAATACATATCACAGAGACAAATCATTCTCCGTGCATCAGACAAGACGCTCCAGGCGAGCACGATGATGTTGTGCTGAGCCTTCTCCTCTCTGGTGACTGTAGGCTGTGTCAAGTTGACAGTTAAAGCTGTCGGTGTCAACTTGACACAGAAACATATCATTTTAAACCGTACACTTTCATTCCTTGTCCTGGAGTCTCATGTTAATATAATAGTGTGAAATAATACGACTTTAAAAGTGCCACAGTCCTTACAAGTTCCAATGATTAGAAAGTTCAGTGTCTTTTTAAAGGTCCAAAGTCTTTTAACCTTGGGCTGCTATAAAATAAAAAATTAAATACTTGTTATTTCATAAGAGAACCAAGACATAGAAAAAAATCAAATCAGCAAAAACCAAAAACCCTGATACTCATTCACTGGGCACTCTTCTGACCATCTGCTGCAAACACAACTTGTCTTAGAGGCAGAAGCTTGTTCCTCTACACACCTAAAAATATCCCACATTCCTGGCCTCTCCAGTACCATGGAATCTCCACAGCAACTGTGACTGCATCTTCACCCTTCACCTCTCCACGGGGATTCTGATTCTACCACATGGTGGTAGGCCTCAACTATTCTCCATGACCCCTTCATATTTTCAAAACTAGCACCATCTATGTGATCTCATGTATTATTTACCAAGTTCTGCTGTGAGCTTGAAATGCAACCTCACAACTCACCAGCCACAAAACACATACACATACACATACACATACACACACACACACCCAAATGCTTAGTCAAACTACCACACAAAGGAACCCAACCCCCATTCTGATGGAGTCTTTCTTTGCTTCTGAAACCATACAAGTCAAGCTGCAATGGGCAACATTTCTCTCAGCATCCTTATCTGCCAAGTTCCTATACAATGTCTATTAAGCTTTGAGCACTCCATGACTTTTCCATCTCAGAGTTGCAAGACCCTCCGCATCTTCCAAGATAGTTCAAATGTTTGAAGGGAAAATGACACCACCACCCTACGCTCATGAATTTGAAAACATGATCGCTGCTTTGAGACACTGTTTACGGTTATAAGGAGATGTGTAGCATTGATAGGAATTACATAAGAGGAATAGACTTAGGAACTTCCATTCTTGACATCCTTTCAATTTGCTCTCTCTGCATCTTTGCAAATGAAGATGTGCTGTCTCAGTTTCCCGGTCTGGAAATTTTCCTGTTGCCTTACCTCCCTATATGTTCTCTCCCTGTGAAACAATAAGCCCACACAAACTTTTCCTTCTTATATGAGCCACCTTTGTCATGGTGTTTTCTCATGGTGATAGAAAGTAGTTAACACAAATACAAAAAGATATGCAGTCAGGTGCACCACAGCAATACCAACTGAATACAGCTAGATAACTAATCATGTGATAAATAATCACAAATAAAAGCAATTTAGAGAAGGGCAGGATTTATCAGGTTTATGGTTCAAAGTCATAGCCCATTACTGAAGGCAGGAACTTGGGCAGGAACTTAGAAGCAGGAACCATGGAGGAACCCTTCTTGAAGACTCCCTCATGGGCTCATGCTTAGCTAGTTTTCTTACAGGGCTCAGGACCACTTGCCCATGGAATGGTGCCAGCATGGCTAGGTGCCGGAATGGGCTAGGACTTCCTGAATTAATTAAAATCAAGACACTTCCCACAAAC